GTATGACCGGGTCGATAACTATGTCTATAGAGCCCCCGGTCCTAAAGAAAGGCTCTCCGGGTCTGACCCCCACGAGATAGGGGTGTATAAGGACATCATGGATGGCGGTTTTTAGCTACCCATTCATCCCTTTTTTGTGTCAATTTTCAATGAGTTTCATCTTACTCCTAGTTAAATAAACCTAACGCTTGGAGAAAAGCAATGTACTTCTTGTATGTTTGCCTTAGGAGGAGAATTCCACTTTCCATAAACCTCTTTAGGTGTATCTTTGAGATGCATGAACTAGTTCAGTACAATGCGTTTGTCTTTTTAACCACTAGGGTCCCTATGCTATTTCCTAGGTTCAGGAATTCAAATAGCGGGTGGAAATCTTGATTCTTCTTCGCCCGGCCTTCAGTAGGTCGGTTTCCTTTCAATACCAATTGACAGCATTTTCAAATTCGCCTTTTCAATAGTCAAGTAGAAGCTTCCTCTACTCTAAAAGCTCAAATCCAACAGATGGTTGATATACTCCCTCTCGTACCTGACTTAGGATTAGTCCTGACCATAAGGAACATGTTGATAGTGGGAATGAGTCGTCCTACTGATAGGTTGCTTCCCCTGGTTTCTATTATTTTTGACTTGCACATATTTCTTATTTGTTACTTTTTAGGACTAATCAGTTTGTGTATGTGCATACAGATATGGACTTCGATCTGGACGAGGTATTGAAGACCCTGTCGAGAAGTGATGAGGGCCTCGCTCTCATTGACGGTAAACTCTTGAGCCTTTCTTCCTTGTTTTGTGTTTTCACACTCTTTTGTTTTGTGAGCCTGACGGGTCTTACCTTGTATGTACAGGGATGTAATTTGACCTGGAGGGGACCATGGATTCTATGCCTGAACAAGGTCATAGAAGTGATATTGAGACATCCCTCGTCCCCTTAAAGAGGAAAAAGACAGCTGACCAAAGGAGAAGGTCTCAGGTGGCAAAAGAGACTCCCAGTTCTCAGACAAGCCTATCGAGGTTGCTCTTGTTCCTAGGTCAGGTTCTTCCAGTCACACAAGGGGGAGCGTGAGGATTCACTTCCTAATTTCGGGTTTCCTCCCACCCAGGGTTATCATAAGATGGGGATGCTTAAGTCTTTCATGACACCCGCATGAGCTAGGGCGATTGCAGGATGTAGCGTAGACTACATCGAGAGGGCTGCGGTAGTCTATCTCCAGAGGGTATGCTTCTAATTCCAATTTTCTTTTACACTAAGTCTTATCTTTTGAGCATGATTTTACCACACGACTCTCTCATTGTCTCCTCATCCTTTAGGTGGTGGCCCTTCAGACCAGGCTTGCTAAATCATGTTGTCGTTAGGCCTTAGAGTTGAAGACTATTGTAGAAGAAAAGAAGAAAGAGGCCCATCATTATAAGGAAAAGATAGCTTCCTTGAAGAAATCTCTAGAGGCGTCAAAAGCTCGAGCCCGCGAGTAGGAGATAGAGAATGACAATTTCTGGTCTGTGTTGGCTCATGCTCCGGAGGAGGTGGTTGAGAGGTGTAAGGCCTCTGTCGAGTATACTAAGGATTTAGATGCATCGGTGGAGCAGTACAAGTCATTGTCTGATTACATCAGGGCCTTGCATTCATACGGGGAGATGGCGACATCTATCAAACTAACCAAGGAGTGGATATCGATCGAGCACCCTTCTATTGACCCCTCAAGATTTGATAAGTTCCTTGCGCAGCGCAAGGGGAAGGAGAGTGGGGCGCAGCCATCCAGGTCACTTGGTCATTCGTCGTGGGACGACAGTGGCGGTTCTTTTCCTACGAGTTGAAGCATGGCTTAGTGTTAGTACCTTTTGTTAGTCCCCCTATTTTTTGTGTTCCCTTTTATTTCTACTTGTAGCATCATTCTTTACTTGTCTGGGGTGTAGGCAAGAGCACATCACATGTTTTTTATATGAATGCTATGTTATTAGCGGTTATTAATGTTGAACTCATCGTTCTTTTAACTTATTTTTTCTAGCGTTGTCTTCCTCATTCAGTGGTTTGATAGCATGGGTGAATGGTGTCGTCCCATGCGTGCTAGGCCGATTATAATGGTCGACGGCCTTAGCCAATATTCTGACCATTTAAGGCTTTCTGCCTAGCTACATGGGATAAGTTGGCCGTTGGGAGAGGAGTTTAGCGGTTAAGGGTCTTAGCCAATTTTTTGACTTTTCAAAGCTCTCCGCTTAGCCACATGGGCTATGTCAATTTATTAATAATAGGGGGGGTCTAGCGATTAAAGGCCTTAGCCAATTTCTTGGTTTTTCAAAGCTCTCCGCCTAGTCGTGTGGGCTATGTCAACCGTCAGAAGGTAGTCTTAAGGGCCTTAGCCAATTTTTTGGCTTTTCAAAGCTCTTCACCTAGCCGTGTGGGCTATGTCAACTATCAAGAGATGGTCTAGCGGTCAAGGGCCTTAGCCAATTTTTGGCTTTTCAAGGCTCACCGTCTAGCCGCGTGGGCTATGTCGACCGTCAGGCCCTTACGAATGAGCACGGGTGATTCAAGACTGCATGTTAGCATAAAAAAATACTTGGATTCGTGAGCTCAGTAGGTGAACTAGGACGTCCCAGCTAGGCTGGTCGTTCCTTAGCGCCCTCATCATCTGCCACTACCAAGGTCTTTCATTAAACACGATAAATAATTGTAACTAAAGGCGCCTTTGTGAGGCGTTACATGGAGGGAATTAAAAATGCAACATATTCTACTGTATTTAAAAGAACATAGCCTGTACATCTATCCTGAAGTCTACTGGTAATATCTTTTGAGATGCTATGCGTTCCATGGCCTACCCAGTGGTCTTCTTCTCATGTCTTTCAGGCTATAAGCTCCCTTCCCCAAATTATGGATTACTTCATACGGGCCTTCTCAGTTTGGTCCGAGCTTTGCCAAGGGGTGCCCTACTACTGCTGCTACATCCCTTAAAATGAGGTCTCCTAGCTGAAATATTCTTGGTTTCACCCTCCGATTGAAGTACGCAGTGGCTCTTCGTTTGTAGGCCATCATCTTGATTGTTGCCTTCTCCCTTACCTCCTCAAGCAAGTCGAGTTTTCCTCTAGTTTTCATGTCATCCGGTTGCTTGACTTTCATCCAACCAATCTCGTTTAGGATCTTAATGGGACTACTGCTTCCATTCCTAAGGTTAGTCTAAATGGTGTTTCCCTGATCATTTCTCGTGGAGTCGTGTGATATGCCCATAGCACATTAGGCAGCTCATCTGCCCACAGCCATTTCTCATTTTCCAATCTGGTCTTCAAATCCCAGAGAATGACTCGGTTTGTCACTTTGGCTTGCCCGTTCAATTAAGGGTGGGCGACCGAGGTCAGTTTATGATCGATGTGATAACTTGCACAAAAGGTCTTAAAGTTATGATTATCAAACTGCCTGTCGTTATCCGTCACCAATACCCTAGGTATCCCAAATCGGCATATTATATTTTTCCATACAAAGCCTTGTATCTTTCCTGTTGTGATGGTCGCCAGTAACTCCGCCTCCACCCATTTAGTAAAGTAATCGATGGCGACCAACAAAAACTTCCTCTTCCTTTTGGCCATGGGCAGAGGTCCTAGAATATCCATTCTCCACTGAAAAAATGGGCACACCCCAAGTATGGCTGCCTGCTGTTCGACTGGGACATGGATCAAATTTCCATGACGCTAACATGTGTCACATTTTCGTACCAACTCTTTGGCATCCTCTTTCATAGTTGGCCAATAGTAGCCCTGTCACAGAATTTTGAAGGCAAGGGATGTTACCCCTTGGTGGTTACCGCAAGTCTAGGCATGTACCTCAAACAGTACCTCTTTGGCTTCGGTGGGGCGTATGCATTTCAGATATGACATGGTAAAATCTCGCTTGTAGAGCTAGCCATCGATGATGGTAAATGAAGTTGCTCGAGCTTTCAATCTCCTCGCCTCCAAGGGTTTTACAGCACCTTATCTTCTGCTAGATATTTGATTATTGGATCCATCCAACTTTCCTCGTGTTCAATATTCTTTACCTCAGTCCAGCGCTGAATGGTGGGTTGCTGTAGGACTTGCACACTCGCTGTCCAAGGTAAGTTTTTTGGGTTGGCTGATGCGAGCTTTGCTAGGGCGTCTACTCGCTCATTATCTTTTCATAAGACCTTCGTCACTTTGAAGCTTGTGAACCCTTTTTGCATATCCGTTACTTTCATTATGTATGTTGCCATCCTTCCGTCCTTTGCTTCGTATTCTCCCGATACCGGCCCAACTATTAGTTGCGAGTCACTGCATACTTCCACTGAAGTCACTCCTAGCCTTGCTACTAAATCCAAGCCTGTGATGACCGCCTCATACTTGATGTCGTTATTGATGGTAGGGAACTCAAAGTACAGTGAGTATTCCAATTCTTTAGAGTCTGGTCTAATTATTATGATCCCTGCTTCTGATCTCTCTGCATTCGAGGAATCGTCCACAAAGATCTTTCATTCTGCCTTTCGCCCTTCTAGGGGCTTTGTCGGGATAGTGAGCTCGGCAATGAAGTCTGCGAGAACCCGTGCTTTGATGGCCGTCCTGGGCTTAAATTCAATGTTAAACTCACTTATTTCGATCGCCCACTTCTATAACCTCGCGGAGATTTTCGGTCGATGTAGGATCTGCTTGATGGGTTGGCCAGTCATTACTTACACCATATGGGTTGAAAGTAAGGTCTAAGCTTCCTCGCTGCAACAATCAATGCGAGCACCAGCTGTTCGGCTAGGCTGTATCTTGTCTCTGCGCCTTTGAGGACATGACTGACGTAGTAGATCGGCTTTTGCGCCTTTGGGAGTTCTTTCACAAGAACGGTGCTAACTGCTCATGGTGATACCGCGAGGTAGAGATACAATATGTCACCTGGGCATGGGCTGGCCAGGATAGGAGGCTGCTGTAGTGACTTCTTTAAGAATTCTAGCGATTCTTCGCACTCTTGAGTCCATTCGAAATTGGTGGAGCTCCCAATGGCTTTAAAGAAGTGGTAGCATTTATCCGCCGCCCGACTCATAAAGCGAGTAAGGGCCGCCACGCGCCCTGTCAGCCGCTGAACCTCTTTTTACTAGTGGGCTCTTCATTTCCAGTATAACCTGTATCTTGTCAGGGTTTACCTCAATCCTTTTTTGGGTGATCATGAAGCCTAGGAACTTCACGCCAGTAGTGCCAAAAACACATTTCTCCGGGTTGAACTTCAAGTTATTCCGTCAGGCTACGTCAAATACTTTCTATAGGCAGGCCATGTGGTCGATGACTTTGATACTTTTTACCACCATATCGTCGACGTAAGTTTCTATGATACTCCCAATCAATTTTTGAAAAATCCTATTCACCATCTTTTGGTAGGTCATTCCTGCATTTTTGAGGCCGAACGGTATGTAGCAATACATTCCAGAATCTGTGATAAATTACGTCTTCTCCTAGTCGAATTCAGCCATTGAAATTTGATGATACCCGGAAAATGCATCCAGAAAGCTGAACCTTTCATGACCTGATGTGGCGTCGACCAGGTGATCTATTCGGGAAAGTGGGTATGAGTCTTTCGGGCATGCTTTATTTAGCCCGATATAATCTACACACATGCGCCATTTCCCGTTAGACTTCTTTACTAGCACGATCTTGGCCAGCCACTCGGGATACTGCACTTCCCGAATGAAACCAACTAGTAGTAGCTTTTTCACCTCTGTTTTTGCTACTTTCTGCCTTTCGGATGTGAGGTTCATTTTCTTTTGCTTCACTGGTTTAGCTCCAGGGAGGACGCCAAGGCGATGCTGAGCGATGGCTGGGCTGATCCCATTAATATCATTTGGGCTTCATGCGAAAACATCTAGATTATCTGCCAGGCATCTTACCAACTTTCCTTTTTCATCAGATTTCAAACCGTCCCCAATGCTAAACTCCATCCTTTTGATATGGAGATCCTTTCAATCATGTCGAGTGGTTTGATCCGTCCCTTCGGAGGTTCAACCTCGAGCATCATGATCGGTGGTGTTCCCTTAACTGATATACTGTCAACATAACATTTCCTGGATGCTTGCTGGTCCTCTCGCACACACCCAACTCCCCTGCTAGTTGGGAATTTCATGACCTGGTGATAGGTATAGCGGATGGCTCCAACTGCGTTCAACAATGGCTGACCGTAGATCGCATTATAGGCCATGGGAGTTTTTACAACTAAGAAGCTTGCCACAATTACCACAGTGATCGAATATGTGTCAAGCGTGACACGAAATTCCACGGTCCCTTATTGAATTACCGTGGCCTCTCCAAAGCCCTATAAGGGGGGTGATTACTGTTTTCAACTTGTCAAAGGAGATCTTTAAGTCCAAAAAAGCATCTCATGTAAGTATATTTGCAGCGCTTCCTCCATCAACCAGCACCCTCTTGACGTCAAAATTAGCTATGTCATCTACTATCACCAAAACATCATCATGGCGATGTGCTACACTTACCAAATCCTCCTCGCCAAAAGTGATATTCTGACTAAACCTCGCTTTCCTTTGGATGGAACAGATCCCAAGAGAATGCGTGTAACTTTTCTCTGTCGAGTTTGAATCTCCGCCTTCTGCTATCTCCCCTGCAATCAGGTTTTTCACTCCGCCCTGGACGAGGGGTAGTCCTCCACTTTTTGTTTACCCCGGTTGTCTTTCACATATTTACCCAAGAGCCCTCATCTAGGGAGGAGCTCGATCTTTTCCTTCAGCTGCAGGCACTCTTCTGTATCGTGCTTGTGATCCTTATGGAAATAACAATATATGCCCTGGTTTCTCTTGCTGGGTGGCGTTGCCATTGGCCTCGGTCATTCAAGCTCCTTCATATCTCGTATCTCCATCAATAGCTTCGCGCATGGGATGTTTAAAGGGGTGAAAGTCTTGGGCTCCTCCCATTTTTGCCTGACTTGTCGATCTTGGATGGTCTCTTTACCCATCTGCTCACTCTTTGGCTTATTTTTGTTAGCATATCTCAACTCGTCTCCCACCTTTTGCTTGTGACTCTCCATTTTCCATCCCTCTCTAAGGTGTTTTGTGACCTTCTCTACTTCTTCGACATCAACGTACTTGTCTCCCTTTTTCAATAGATCATGCATTAACTCTGAGGGGTTTTTGGAAAGTGACATCTTGAAGGCCCGGTTCCGAGTTCCGTTCATCAATGCAGTCACCACTGCTGACATTTGAAGATCCTCTATTCCAAGGGTCGCTCGGCTGAATATGGCCAAATACTTTTACAGAGACTCGTCCTTTTCCTGGACCACCTTCAGCTGCAGGCACTCTTCTGTATCGTGCTTGTGATCCTTATGGAAATGATAATATTTGCCCTGGTTTTTCTTGTCGAGTGGCGTTGCCATGGGATGGGCCTCGGTCATTCAAGCTCCTTCATATCTCGTATCTCCATCAATAGCTTTGTGCGTGGGGTGTTTAAAGGGGTGAACGTCCTGGGCTCCTCCCATTTTTGCATGACTTGTCGATCTTAGATGGTCTCCTTACCCGTCTGCTCACTCCTTGGCTTATTTTTGTTGGCAGACCTCAACTCGTCTCCTGCCTTTCGCTTGTGACTCTCCATTTTCCATCCCTCTTTGAGGTGTTTTGTGATCTTCTCCGCTTCTTCGACATCAACGTACTTGTCTCCCTTTTTCAATAGGTCAGGCATTGACTTTGGGGGGTTCTTGGAAAGTAACATCTTGAAGGCCCAATTTCGAGTTCCATTCGTCAATGCAGTCACCACTGCTAACATTTGAAGATCCTCTATTCCAAGGGTCGCACAACTGAATCTGGCTAGATACTCTTACAGAGACTCGTCCTTTTCCTGGACCACCTGCATCAACTCAATGGTCATCTTCCTCTTTCTCTTAACACTGAGAAAGTAGGCCACAAAGCTCCTGAAAAGTTCATCAAATCTTCGGATAGATCGGGGGACAAGTGTTGCCACCCAGTCTTTAGCTTCTCTTCTGAGGGTCAGGGGAAAAGACTAAACATCACTGCATTAGGTGTTGTATAGAGCCTCATTAAATCAACGAAGGTCCGAAGATGGTCAAGTGGATCTGTGACCCCGTCGTAGGCTTCAATCATAGGTTGCTTGAAGCCCTTAGGCAAGGAGACCGTCATGATTTAGGGAGCGAATGGGTTCTCCTCTAAGACCATCTGCCTATGCTTATCTTTTTTCTTTGATATTGCATCATCTATTTTCTGCGTCATGATCTCCTACATCCTCTGTTCCAGATCCGCCATGGGTGGGTTAGGCTGCAGGACCGTAATCCCTGGAGCCCCCAGCCTGCAGTTGCCGGTTAGATGACAGGCGGAATTTCTATGTACGCCTCCTTGGATGGCGGCGCAGCTTCCGTCGAATGCAGCGGGAGGGCTGCTCCGCGTTTGATTCTGCAAGAGGGTCATCATAGTCGCTAGCTGGTTCTCCAGGGCGCTGAATTGGCTTTGTGTCACATACTGCGGCGGCAGGTCGGGGCCCCTAGCGACTGATTCCGATTTCATCTCCGTCGTTGCTGCTCTCAAGCGCGTGTCACTTCTTGTTAATTTTCTTGACATGATTTTGGTGTTCAATAGAAGAAACTTCCCACAAATGGCGCCAATGAGATGGTGGTGGTATAATACCTTCCCGTCTACCTGGTGGCATTTTTCGTTCCTGCTACTCCATTGGGCATGTGTAACCTGAAAAATAAACGAGGGATTTTCTCCCCCGTTTTACCTCTGGCGTGATAATCAGTAAATGATATTAGGAAATATGAAGATGGAATTTAGATGGCTAGGAAAAAATGCCATCGTCCCTACCTATGTCACACTCGGGGGTATTTATAGGCATCGAAAGCTGGGTGAAAGTTGGATGGTAATAGTGCCACGTGTCCCACGTTGGCCTCCCCACCATCCCCACGTTCTAAGTGGGGGATCTTTAACTTCCCGCTCGGAGGTTGGGTCTAAGGTAACCGTCATGTATCATTGTCCATTCATTCGGGATTTTGTGGCTAAGTGTTGAGATGGCCCTATAGGCAATTTCACGTCGGTCGGTGATTTTATGTAGAGGTAGAGTGCCCCCCAGGGAGGGTCGACAGTCATGCGTAGAGATAGAGGCCCCCTCGGGGGGAGGCGGCGGCCTCTCGTTGAGGTAGAGCACCTGGGGGTAGGTAGTCTTGTGTGGAGGTAGAACATCTCGGGGGGTCGACAGCTTCGCATTGGCGTACAGTGATTTACATTACTTATTTTCGGAGACGGTTTCCTATGTTAACTGATATTAATTAGCTCGTTTGTTGATGATATCTTCTCCTATTTTTTGTTGAACTTGTGATAAAGCTAGAATATGCAGCAGTGAATTATATATTTCGAACAGTAGCTCGTTTGTTGGTGAGATCTTTTCCAATTTTTAGTTGAACCTGGACCATGTAGCAGTGAGTTCTATGATTTGAACAGTAGCTTGTTAGTTGATGAGATCTTTTTATATTTTTAGTTGAATTTGTGTAGTCTTGCCAAGACTCTTGTCATTGAAGTTATTATTATTTTGTCTGCCACAATAAAATTTTATCGTGTTCATCTTAATAGATGATAAATTATTGTTGACATTTAATAAAGAAAGGGTAATTGATGTTGTGAAGGGCCTTCCGTGTTGATTAGATATGATTGTAGCGAAGAATAGAGTACTTTCGATGGTTAAGCTCGCGTCTAGTGATGACTAAAGAGGATTGTAGCCAAGATTTGTGTAACCTTAATCTTATTGTAAGCCTCTAGTTTGAACCAGAAATGATGATTCCCTTCTGCTTGGGAATGGTTTTCACTTTAAAAATTGGTAGTTTTTTAGATTTTTATTTGCTCTATTTAATTATCTCCTAATATGTGGATACAATTAGGAAGAATTATGTGTTTCACCATGTCATTTCACCGATTGTTCGGAGAATTTGATTGTTTTTTATCCTCAAACTTATCTACAAGTAACTTTTTATTCTAGACAGGTTTGTCTAAATTTATGAGTTATTTTTCTTATTCGTATATAAAAGAAATTATTTATTTTAACAGAATTATGATCACTAGGTCATGCATTTCGTCAGCCAAGTGGGACTACAAAATGAATTAAGAACTCTTAAATGTTTGTGTGAAATACTTTTCTCTACACTTATATATATTTTTAAAAAAAAAATCATTTTAACATTTTTTTACATATATTTTTCCTATTTTTTAACCACAAAATCTCAAATATATATTTTTATTTTTAAATCACACACAAGTACTAAATATGAATTTATTCAATCCCCTCTCAAATTGTTTCAATACACGTGTTTCTACTTTCTTTAATAATCGACTTTCAAAGTAAACATTAATATATATGTACACCATATACCCAAAAGTGCTTGACTATAATTCAACGTACCACATCTGTAAAATTGAATATTGCAGCACTATCTAAAAGTTTTATTTGATTAGATTAGCACTACATCTTCTTAATCAATTGTTTTTGTTGACGATTCAAGTTCCGAGCAATTGGAAGCCGCTTTCGATGACGAGGTCTTAGCCCCGCCTCGCTTTCGTTACTGCACAAAGGCATACACGAAGTCAAGGGATATGCGCACGATACGAGGAAAAATGTGGCATCTGCTCCATTCTGAGTGACAAATACGAGTTCAACGAATCCCAGTTATTTGTTTTACCAAAGTGGTCCTCCACTCGAAAATATATAAATGATAATGCTTGTGCCTAGAAAAAAAAAAAAACAAAAACTTCTACCTTCTTTGATCAAATCTGGTATAAAAAAAATGGAGCTTAAACGATTCATCAAACTACTGAATTTGCTTCTATTTGCATTTTCTCTGTGTATGAATCCAACTTCTGCGGTTGGGGGTGCTGCTCAAGTTAGGTGCATAGAGAGGGAGAGACAGGCTCTTCTCAAGTTTAAGCAAGGCCTCATAACATCCGACTCGGAAACTCTCTCAACCTGGGGAACTGAAGAAGATAAAAAGGAATGCTGCGAATGGAGGGGTGTCTTTTGTAGCGACAGAATTGGTCGAGTAAACCAACTCGAACTGGGTGAGCTGCAAATGAGAGGTAATGTTAGTCCTGCTTTGCTTGACTTGCGGCATTTGAATATTCTTGATCTCAGTGACAATGATTTCGGAAGAAGTCGAATACCAAAATTCATTGGTTCCTTCAAGAATTTAAGGCAATTGACACTTCGGAACTCAAACTTCACTGGCGAAGTTCCTTATGAACTTGGTAACCTCACCAACTTGCAGACTCTTGAACTTGATGGTAATGTAGGTCTGACAATCAAGAACCTTGACTGGATTTCTCGTCTCTCTTCATTATCATATCTTGATTTGAGTTCTGTTAACCTTAATGAAACCAAATGGCTGCATGAAATAACAAAGCTCCCTTCCTTGAAGAGTCTGTTCTTGTCAAATTGTCAACTACCCAATACTTTGCCTGCCATTGATTTCTTTGCTAATTCGTCTTTGCCCTCTCTTGATTTCCTCGTTCTATCCATAAACGGTCTCACCTCCAATTTCACATTCCAATGGTTGTTTAACTTTACTAAAAGTGCTATTGGCATAGACCTCTCTTATAATCAATTAGATGGTCCTATTCCCGACACCTTTGGGGAATTGGTATTTCTTCAGGACCTCCGCTTGCAGGAGAATAAGTTCCATGGTGGGATCCCAAAGTTTACAATGAATTTTATTCATTTGACGTCAATAAATATATCCAACAATAATTTAAACCAACCTCTTGTCGAGTTATTCCAAAATTTATCCAAGGTAACGTCACTTGAAAATTTGATTTATCGTACAATCAACTTAACGGTGCCTTGCCAGACATCACCAGATTTTCATCCTTAAAGGAGTTAAGACTCAACAACAATCAATTGAAAGCATTTCCACCACAAACCCTCGGACAACCTTCGAGTCTGGTACATTTGTACTTGTCCAATAATCAAATCACGGGATCATTGCCGAATTTGAGTGTCTTTTGGAATCTCCTAGGTTTATATCTCGGTTCAAATTCGTTGGAAGGTACAATCACCAATGACCACTTTGCAAACCTTACCCAGTTAAAAGACCTGGATTTATCTTTCAACAAATTGTCTTTGAACTTGTCATCAGATTGGGTTCCTCCTTTCCAAATGGAAATTGTACACCTCAGCCATTGCACTATGGGGCCTCATTTTCCAAAATGGATTCAGACTCAGATCTCTCTTCTTGAGCTCGATAATTCATTTGCTAGTATATCAGATACTATTCCACAATGGTTATGGAATATGCCTCGTATGATAACATTTAATATCTCTCATAACCAAATTGGTGGTAGATTGCCCGACTTGTCTTCGAGAACTGCTCTTCGAAGAAGCATAGATTTAAGCTATAATAATTTTTCGGGGCCAATTCCATCATTTGTTTTTCATACAGTAGAAGTACGACTCTCCAAAAATAGGTTATCGGGATCCATTTCTCACATATGCAGAATTTCCGGTTCTTCCTACATCAAAATCCTGGATCTATCTGATAATTACTTGTCCGGAGAACTTTAACGAATGCTGGATGAACATAAATGACTTGCGTGTTCTCAATTTGGGAAATAATAGGTTCCATGGTAGAATTCCCTTCACTTTGGGAGCTCTAGATCAACTTCAAACATTGCACTTGCGCAACAATAGTTTGACTGGTGATTTGCCTTCCTCTTTGAAGAATTGTACGAAGTTGAGAATGATTGATTTGGGAGAAAACGATCTAACGGGAAATATTCCTACGTGGATAGGAACACATCTAACAAGTTTGACAATTGTTAGCCTTCGGTTTAATAAATATCATGGAAACATACCTCCAACAATTTGCCATCTCACCAATATTCAAATCTTGGACCTTTCTAGGAACAACATATCTGGCAAAATTCCTCCGTGTTTAAACAATTTTACTTCTTTGGCTCAAAGGAATGGTTCAACTGAAAGCACTGAAGTTATGGTTCCTGATGATCAAATCTTTCCGTGTGCTTTTAATCTCCATTGGTACTTCGACGATATTTTGGTTCAATGGAAAGGACAAGAGTCACGAGATGGAAAAATTGGACTTGTGAAAGGCATTGACCTCTCTGGCAATAACTTAGTTGGAACTATTCCTCAAGAGTTTTCTGATTTGAGAGGTTTACTTTTCTTGAACTTGTCAAGGAACCATTTGACGGGAAACATCATTTCAGACATTGGTGAAATGGAAATGTTGGAATGGCTTGACTTGTCTAACAATCAACTTTCTGGGAATATTCCGAATAGTCTTGCAAGTCTAAATTTTCTCAGCGTTTTAGACTTATCGTACAATAACTTAAAGGGGAGGATTCCATTAGGCACTCAACTACAAAGCTTTGAAATTTCCGCGTATGAAGGGAATAGCAAACTCTGTGGGCTTCCTCTGCCAAAGTGTCCTGGAGATTCTCCTGGCCCTTCTCAGACTAATAGTAGCAAGGGCAACATTGAAGAAGATGATGGGTTTATCACTCGAGAGTTCTATTTTTGTATGACGGTTGGTTTCATTACTGGATTCTGGGTAGTTGTTGGTACTTTGTTCCTCAAGCATTCATGGAGATATTCCTACTTCAACTTCTGGAACAAAATTGGAGATTGGATATACGTGAGAACAACATTATATGCGAAAAGATTCAAAAGAAAATTTCTGCATTGATGGTAAGCATCTATATTTACTGATTTAATTTTCTGTCATTTAGTTGTTTTATGGAGGTGATTTTTTTATTTCTACCATGTGAATTTGGATTGGGATACATGGCGTTCATACCATGACTGTCGTATAGTATTTATCTATATCTATAATATAATATTATAGAGAAATGCTACATTGCCTGGAAAAACTTACATGCCTCTCAAAAACAGGTGAGCCACTGATTTTTGGGGTATTTTTTTAATGAGGTCAGGGACTCACCTGTTCGTGAGAGGTCTGTAAAGGGCCTGTGAAATTTTCACTTGCAATGTAGCGTTTTTCAATATTATAATATCATATCAAGTGAGAGTCATTTTTTGGACGATTTTAACCCAATTATAATTTAATTATTCCAACAATATCTTACTTTTAGTTTTTCAATATGTAATGAATACTATAAAAATTCTTCTTATGTATGAATTTCGTGTTATTAATTCTCAATTAATTAATATTCACATTATTCTAAACTCAATAATTCTCAACTTGATGAATCTTAATCTATATAAATCTAGAGTTATTATAAATGAATTTATTTCTATTCATGTATCTAGAAATTTTAATGGGTATTTAATTTCATATACTGGTAATTAATTCCTTATATTACCTAGTGTAGTATAAAAATGGTGGAAATTACACAATACCTTTAAAAATTCCACATTCTAAAATCAGGTGGAAATTTTTAATATTCAAAAATAAGAAAACCCTAATTTTCTCTCTCTCTCTCTCTCCCTCCCTCCCTCCCCTTCCTTTTTCCCCAATCTACCAATAAATTTCTCCCATGTCCCTTCCAGAAGACCAGAAGGTGCCACCAATATTCAAACACGACACACTATGTCGGCAACGATTCGACAACGAACTCAATCCCAACACCTTAGGCAACAGATGCGATTCCCCACTATTTTGTGCATGTTGACAATGTCACTCAATGACTGCTGATGAAAGTGCAGCCGTCGTAGTAGTTCTGTCTGTGCTGCAGGATATCGTCATGGTGATGTTGTACAGCATTTGGTTATTGACGATATTGAAGTGGTGGTGCTTGCAGTGGGGGAAGCTAGTTTTGTTGAGGTTTTTGTGCGACTATGGCGATGATTTTTTGGATCTTGTTGGTGGCGGTGATTTTCTTGCGACGATGAGGTGATGGTGTCGTTGGTAGTCCGGTTAGATGGTGGTGATGTTGGTGGTGGTAGTGGCACGGCATTTGCTGCGAAGTCCGGTGAGTTGGTGGTGATTTTGTTGTAATGGCAAGGTGGTGTTACCTCGATTTACGCATTTATGTGTTTTGTGGTGGTCGTTGGTAACAATGTGGTGTTTTCTACAATAAGTTGATTTGTTTGACGTCGTGGTGATTGTGGTGGTAGTTCTGGCGACGACGATAATGGTAGTGGTGGTGGTGGTACTGAAAGTAGCGTTAAGATGGTGGTTATAAGTGTTGGTGGCGATCACAAATCATTTGATTGACTGTGACCATTAAATTGCTTAATCTTTGAGAAAAAAATATAAATTGTGATCAAGAAATAAAATATGACCTAAAAAATTGTTTATATGTGATCAATAATTTAATAGTTTGTGACTGTATAATAAGTTGTGACTTATAATATTTGTAATTTGTGATCAATAAATAAATTGTAATTGTAATTTTTTTATTTGTGACCAATGAATAAATTGTGATCTATAAAAAAATTTGAATTTTGACTGTAAAATAATTTGTGACATAAAATTTCTGATTTGTGACAAAAAAAATTAAGTAACTCTGTGACCTAAATATGTTTAATTAATAAATAAATAAATTAATTAATTAATTAATTTTAATAAAAATCTGATTTTTGAAGTTTGAAACTTGTTTTCTTGATTTTGAAATGTGTGATACTTAAAATCTTACTTACGAAATTTTTCCATAAAAATGTTGCTTATTTGTAGTATCTCATCATCACAAAATATTTAGCCTCTATTTGTTTCCAACTTTTCAACCCAATTATAATCCATTTTCCATCCGTTGGTGGACTGTCAGCCACCATTGTTGACTTCTTCTCTCACACTAGGCCCCACACGCAACAAAAAATGGATTCTTTTCTTCCAACAATTGGAAACAAACAGGGGCTTAAATCATAGAAGTTGAATTTTGATAGTTCAATTATCTTTTCTTAAATTTCAATCCTTTTTTTTTTTAAGTTTGTTTAAGACTCAACAAATTGATATAAAATATTACTTTTACAACACTTATACAGTATTTCAGAATAACATGCAATACACGTTCAATTTTGACGAGTAGACATAAATAAGCAAAAACTTTAGTCTTAGTTTGTTAATATCCAAAAGTTGACTCTTTTTCTTTTTTACTTAAATCAGGTTCTTCTTCCAACAAACGCGAAAGGATTGACTGTCATACCTGTTGGAGGCAGCAGAAGTTCCATGGTCTTTGCCCACTTTGAAATTAGACCGTCAATGATTACGTTTTCTATTGTGATGTGTATTATAAATTTTATTTTCTTAAGATTCGTAAAACAAAACCAACTTGGGAGATATGAAAAGACGTAAAAATAATATGTTGTATCGTGACATTAAATTTTAAAAACCTTGTGCCTTTCACATTTAGAAACTAATTTGTTATGAAAGTTTATACTTTTTCAATCAATAGTATTGACGAATTTTATGCCAACAACAACTACCACACTTCCAATCTCTCTTTTCTTGTTGCAGCAGAACTAGCTCGACTCTTTTCGATTGTATATGATACATGTTTGTGCTCAATTAACTTAAAAGAAAAAGTTTATCACTGTTAATAAAACCATAATATTTACTAAGGTAATGAAGAGAATTTTTTATAAAACCTGGAATGTGAATAGAATTCATGGTTTACTGTACAATTAATTTGTATCAACAAAAGAAAAACTAGAAACAAGAACGAGAAAAGCACTCCACGGGAGCTCATTAACGAAACTTTGCACTATAAAACCATTCCATGAACAATTACAGAGAAATAAATGTGCTATCAACTGAGACTACACTAGACCTGCAATATCTCTCTTAGATAAAAAAAATTCTTACGAATTATAAATTATAAATTCTTCAGATGCTTTGAATTTTGAAAAGCATTACTAGTAACACAGTTCATGCAGATTTACGACATAAACCTTTCTCACAATTGAAATCCGACATTTCCAAATTTCTTGACAGTATTAGTTAAATGTAAAAAGAGCATTTATTTTTTAATTTTAATTTCAAAATAGGGTAATAAATAATATGTTTATAACCCTGAAATTTATTTTATTTATACTAATTGATGATTCCGGATTGGTAACCCCGAACTAGACCTCAATTTGCCATGATCCTCGACCTCGACTTGTGACCCCGAGTTGATCTTGGCGTGTCACGCCAGTTTGAGGTCGGGGGTTTCCTTTAGGTCGGGGTTATCTCTAATCCAACCCTACCCACCGACTTAATCTCCAAAAAATAGACCCCACCAAGTCTACTCCTTCCCTGATTAGAACTCTTAACAATATACTTCTAATCAAACTCCAACACCTAGTCCTAAGGGGAAAATGACTCTTCCAGTAATAGAATCCTTCTACAGCTCCCCCACCAACACCTATAAATACTTCTCCAAGGCTCAACATCAAGGTACATTTTCATTATCTTCAGTTTATAGCCTCGCGCACTAAATTCCCTATCTGACTAAAGCATCGGAGGGGCGACGGGCGCACACCTCGTTGCCTTTGTTGCAAGTATTCACAGACCGATTGTATTCATCAAAGTAAAGTTAGACCATCAAGCTCGAGATCTTTTAGATGATATTTTTTTGGTAGCATCATTGGCGCCGTCTGTGGGAAGCGCTACCAAAAGACATGGTGAATACACGATCAGGTCTTCCACCAGCAAGCTCATTCGCTCCAAATCCTCCCCCTGGAGGTTATCCTGTCCCTCAAGAGGAATCATCAGAGATGGCAGCACCGCCACCGACTGTCATTACCACCGGAGCTTTTGAAGAGCTCCGCCAACAAGTTACCACATTGACTCAGTTATTAAGCCAAAGAAACTCACACCCATCGCATACACCAACACCGGATGGTGATCTTATGGCAGCTACTTAAGCTCGAGCTCGAGCTCCACAAAACATCCCTGATAATGGTGCTGGAACCTTGGGTGTACCTCCTATGACCGTGGCATCAAGGGCAGTAACGATAGAGTCAGGTGAGCTTACCAGAATCATCCAAGAAGGTATTGCCGCAGGCATAGCATAGAAATCAAAGGGGACAATAGGCTTTACCCCTAGCACTCCCTTTACTCCTGAAGTACTGTCCTACCCCCTTCGGGATTGGTTCAAGTATCCCAGGATAAAGGAATATGATGGGACCACTGACCCTATCAACCACCGCAATATATATACCGATATCATGAATCTACAGGTCGCACCTGACGCTGTAATGTGCAAAGCCTTCCCTCAAACTCTTACAAGCGCAGCTAGAGATTGGTTCTCCACGTTAGAGCCAAACTCTATCGCCTCATTCGCAGACTTGGTTGATAAATTATCCGCTTTCTTCGCAAACAGCAAGCGAATTAGGAAAACAGCGGCATCACTTATGCAGATGCGCCAGGGACCTAATGAAACATTACGCAATTTCATGACTAGATTCAATAAAGAAAGACTTCAGATTCCAGATCTACATATTACAGCTGTGGTCTCAACTTTGACGTACGCTATAAGATGCGAAGCATTCAAGATGTCTTTGTCAAACCCCCCCCCCAAAGTCAGTAACTGACCTCCTCACTCGAGCTGAGAAATACATCAATATGGAAGAAACTCTAACCCCAAGAAAGGACGTTTCACCTTTACTAAGGCCAGATAATAAGAGACTGCGTTAACCCAATCAACGAGACGACAATCCTCGGGTCAAGCCAAGACAAAACCGCCGACCAAAAACCTTTACTCTCTTGAATACATCAAGGTCCAACATCCTAATGGAGATCAAAGACCTCAAAGAGCTTAAGTGGCCTCCCAGAATGCGATCATTACCTAAAAACAGAGACAGAACCAAGTACTGTGACTTCCACCGGGACCATGGACATACCATTGAGGGTTGTTTGGCTTCGAAACAGCAAATTGAGGCTCTCATCAGGAAGGGTTTTTTGGGCTCTTACACTAGCCATGAAAAACACCCGAGGAACAAGCAGAATAACATACAGGAAGGGCGTGGTAGTGAACCACCAACGGCAGGCACTATTAACGTTATTATCGGAGGAACAGCTTCAGGAGGAGACACCAACAATGGACGTAAACAGTATGCTAGACAACTTCTAGCCTCTTCCAATATGAATCTTGCTCATACGAAAGATATCACCTTCGAGTCCAAGGATTTGGAAGGAATATCCTTCCCTCGTGATGACGCCCTAGTCATATCAGCTATCATAGCTAACTTCGAGGTCAAGAGAATTCTTGTGGATAACGAAAGTGCAGCTAATGTACTGTCTCATGAAGCTTTAGTTCAGATGGGTATCTCAGTGGAACAACTCAAGCCTGTTAAAATACCCCTCCAAAGATTTCGTGGCGGGGTCATCACCCCTGAAGGTATTGTTGGATTACCCATGACTTTGGGATCTAAAGGTCGGCAGGTAACCCATATCGTAACTTTCGAAGTTTTCCGAACTCCGATGGCCTACAACGCCATTTTAGGAAGACCATTGCTAAATAAAATCAGAGCTGTTATCTCAACTTTTCACCTGGCGATGAAGTTCCCCACATATAGTGGAGTTGGAGTCGTCCGAGGAAGCCAAACCATGGCACGCCAGTGCTATGTGACTAGTGTCCGAAAAATAAAGGGAGACGTCATGCAGCTTATAGAGCTCGAGCTTGAAAATCGTGAGAGAATCACCCCGGTAGAGGAGCTGGTCGAGCTCGAACCTGGTAGGAAGGCGATTGTAGGGTGTGACCTTGATTCAACCATCATGGCTAAACTAATAAGTTGTCTCTCCTAAAACTAAGACGTATTCGCGTGGACAGTTGAAGACATGCTGAAAATTGACCCCGAGGTTGCAGTACACAGGCTCAATGTAAACCCAGGAGCCAAACCTGTCAAACAAAGGAAAAGATAATTTGCACCCGAACGGCGCGAAGTCATACGAGAAGAGATTGCCAAGCTCCTCAATGCACAATTCATCCGAGAAGTGCAATATCCTGACTGGCTCGCCAATGTAGTTCTCGTGAAAAAGGCCAATGGAAAGTGGCGAGTTTGCATTGAGTTCACTGATTTGAACAAAGCATGTTCGAGAGATAGCTATCCCCTACCCCGGATTGACAGTCTCGTTGACAGCACTTTGGGTCACAAATTGTACAGCTTTTTGGATGCATTCTCAGGGTACCACCGAATACCAATGGCCACAGAAAATCAAAAGAAGACCTCATTCATAGCAGATTTTGCCTTCTATTGTTATAAGGCCATGCCATTTGGCTTAAAGAATGCAGGGGCTACATATCAGAGGCTAATCAACAAGGTCTTTG